AACATCGAATTCGTCTTGTGAGCTCAGTCGCCCAATCAAAACGACGCCTTTTATTTGGGGACGAAATTACACGGTTCAAGGGGCGCCCGACCTGAAGGTTTGACCGAAAACATATTCTTGTCTTCCAAAATTGGTGTGTCTCAAGATTATTTTTCTGTCAACAATAGGTTCTTGTTCAAAATCGGCGAGTTCATAGACAAATTCCATAGACAATTCCTGATTGCCAAATCACTTCCAAATACTGTAAATGAGATGATGAAAGAAGCACAGCGCAACGTTTTTCGTTTGATTGGACTCACCTCAACCGCTCATGTGAGAAGGTGGGTTGAAACATCGGGAGCATGCTTTTCCTGTTTCCTTCTCAACTCGTCCTCTTTCAGAGGCTTCATCGAGATTTTGAAAGAACCCTTATTAAAACACATCAATAACGGAATAATCGATGCTCTGATTAGGTGTTTAGGGAAATGCCTGCAGATGAGGTAAATGAGAGGCCGAATGATGTATTGGAGTGGAATGGTGACACGGAAATTTATATTTGGAATCGCACAAAGACCTTTTTGTAAATATTGTTTTGTAACGGGGGCGTCTTATTTTTTTTTTTCCTTTTTAACTTTTTTAAGAAAAAGGATATTGTGCATCTGCGATTAAATGTATGTAGTGCGGACAAGATCGGATGGTTTTCTAGCATTGCACGCAAAACATCGTCGGAGACGACGTCAGGAATGGAACAGCGTACGTATAACGATTAATTTTTTTTTTTTTTATTGATTTTTTTATGATTATTATAAAACAAGAAAAAAGAAGAGAAAGAATCTTGCTATAATGACCTGTCAAAGGTATCACTTAGAGAATTTAGAAAAATGAAAGGAGGGTTATATTTTACATGCGAGAGAAAAGTTGTACATAAAAAAGAAAAGAATAATGAACAGGAAAGTTAAGTGGAGAACGTCAAAGTCAAGCGCGCCCCAGGTGTGCATGATGAAACACGTAATGTAACCACAGGAAACACGCGTGTCATGATGAGAAAACCCGTTTGATGATGAAAGCTCCACCTCCATCCACAACGGATTTCCAACCCAATGATCGATCATTTCTTTTCGCTTCAACGAGGACGAGTGCGAGCATCCTGAAGGGACGACTCGCTCGCCCTTGATGACCGGGGGAAGGCCTAAAAAAAATCGCTACCTGAAGAAATAAGATAAAACAAAAAAAAAATATATGTATATATATATCCATAGAAACTTTATGTGATCCATCTTGGCTCCTCACTCCAAGAATCCGACCTAGGCGGTCGAGGAGAGAGCGAGATGAGTGATAAAATAAATAAATAAATAGAAGAAAAAAAACCATATATATATATATAAAAGGCATAAAATATTCGCTATAGAAGAAGAAGAAAGATATATTTGGCGCAAGAAGAAAATTGAAATCTTGATGCAATTTTTTTCTTTTTGTGTGCAAGGATCAAATGCGGCTTTGAATTTTGCTCGACACATTGAAAAGAATTTGCATGACCAGTGGACTGGAAAGCACGGAAAAATAGATAAACGTAGGCTTTTTATTTTCGTGTTTTATGAGAATTGCAAAAAGGTTTAGCATAGGTGAGATGAAGGTTTTTTTGAAAAAATGTTTTTTTATTTTTGATTTTTTCTCCAACGTGTGCCTCAAGTCCAAACAAAACTTTTCCCTGCGTTATCGTTGAAAAATCTTGCTGCATATCACCGCCGAGTTTCAAAAAAAAAAAATCAAAGAAAACTCAATAAATTTCAACAACTCCTTCTCCCGTAATTTCCAACCCGTCCTCTTCGGCTTCTGCTATGTATGCATCCAAGACATCAAACGCCTCTTTTCCCAGTTTGAGAAACTTGATGTTCTCGTAAAAGTGGATAAAATTCTCGGGCGTGATCTCGTCTAGCCAGGCATCATCGTCATGATGATACAACCAGTGTAAGATGATCCCAAAGCATTCCGGGTGAGGTATGGGAACCGTCAGCTGTATTGGAAATTGCGGATGTGAACAGAAATGTGGTGAGGTGGGCGAGGTGGGCGAAGAAGGTGGTGATTGTTGCCGATGTAAATTGCACAAAGATGACGTCGGGTTGTTTATGGGGCCAAATAGTTGATTAAAAAATCCCGATTGCGATGCCAACACGAGCGTGTGTGCATAAAAGTTGTGTGATGTGGGCCGCGAAAAATCCATGACCGTCGGTTTGTTGTTTGGTGCGTTGGTAAAGGTGAAGTGATCATAACTCGGAGAGGTCGGTGATCCTGGCGGTGAAGGCAACAGGGAGGTCTGCCCTATGCTGCGATCACCGAAATATTGGTGGTAATTTAATAGTAATTGATTATAACCACACACCATGTAATTAACACAGTTGGTCAAGACAGCGGCGTCTAATGCATTTGCGTCTTTATGACACTTTGTGTGTATCGGCGTTAATGACTTTGACGGGATCAGTTGCTGCTGTTGCTGAGCAATGCCTTGAAGTACCGTCAGATTTCGATTAAAACTCTGATGGAAGTATTGATCAAAATACTCGCACCAAAGATTAATTTCATCGCACCTCACTATGTTCAAAAGGTAGTCTGCGGTTTGTCCATTTTCGTAATGCAGTGGTCCTATCTCATCAAGGTTATTGAGGAAATAGCCGACCGGAATTATTCTCTCTGAAAAAGGATCTTTGTACACTGATGGTGTGTGATCCGTGGGCCTATACACAGGGAGAATGACTTTTTTACGTAAGGATAGCTGACCCATTTCTTCTCGAACGAGGTTTTGTTACTCTTGGGAAAAGAAAAATTTGGTTGTGGCGATTGTGCGCGGGCGAAAGAGGTTTGTCGGCTGAATTAATAACAATGATAGTATCACAGAAATGTTTGTGAATCTTTTGACTAAAACGAACAAGCGAGAAGCTGTGAGTGATTGATTAATGATAATATTACAAGCGGGAGTTGGCAAAGGGGTGAAAAATGGTGGCCGAATTAAATTATTATTTTTTTTGAATATATACTTGGAGGAAGAAAAAAAAAACTGTATTTTTTGATGTAAAAAAAAAATTCTTGAAATCAAACCATCATTTTATTATATGTCGTTTGTGCATTTGTTGTTTTTCTAAAATTCTATGCTTGAGTCTCGGGGAAGGGGATGAGAAATTGTGATGCGAAAAAAGATGATGGTTTCAGAAAATGAAAACCTTTTCTATCTCAAGGTTTCAAAGATGCAACTCTTTGGCGGCTGCTGAATAAAAATTACGAGAAAACCAAGAAAAATCAAAGGAAAAAAGAAAAAAAAAATTTTTTTTTTGTCTGTCTTCGGTAGAGTTTGTCTTCCTCTGATCTCGCTATTATTTATATCCAAATTTTGTGATATGATTTCTCCAAATCGGTAATTTGGTTTGTTTACTTATCACCACGAAGAGCAACCCCTGGGTTGCTGCCAACTACAGAGCACAAAAAATCTATTAATATAAAACACACAAAAAAAAAAAAGTGATGTTTGATTTGAATCATCACACCAAAAGCTTGTGACTCGCCCTTTTTTGTATGTCAAAAGATGGGCCACCCCGGGGTTGCACAAGTCAGACCAAGAGCAGGACAATGATTCAAGACCTCTACAAATGTCTTAATCTGGAAAAAAATACGAGTTCATAAAAAAAAAAAAAAAAAGAATAGAAAAAGTGACTTATGTTGTTGGCTGAATTCGATGCAAGTTTTTTTCTTAACCTCGTTTGGACTTATGATTTTTTTTACAGTCCAAATATACATAACAAGTGATTACTACCAAAACGATGTCCGTCCTTTTCCTCCTGTGCACCCGTCTTCCGCTTTTCCTATTTTTGTTGGGTCGGAGGGAGGGAACGAACGTTCAAAAAGAATTTTAGGACGCTCGCGATTTTCAAGAGCGTGTATTTCCTTTGTATTCCCATATGCGAGTCACAAATGGTACTTTTCACTGCTTTCAGGTCGATATGAAGGATCATACGATTCGCGCAAACAAGATCCTCATTTACTTGTTAACCAAGTCTCCAACCAAATTCTTAACATCGGAATGGATGAAAAAGAAAAAAAAAACAAAAAAACATATACATATGTTTCGAACTCCCTGCAACCCATATTTGGAAAACAAAAAAGACCGGGGACCTGTTAAACTTTTGTGTTAAAAAAAGTAAATGCTATTACCAACCAACCAACCAACCTATCAACAAATTATCAGCCTCCCAACCGAAAGCAAATACGGATGTACAAATGTATGACTGCGCATGCGGCAGAGACAAGCCACAACGACATCACGCGATCGATCATTCACGCAATTCTGGTGGCCACATAATGTAACACTCATAAATTTTCTCATTTCTCTAACCTAACGAAACTTCCGGATTAAGCCAGGGAGGGTAACATGAGTCGACGGTACAAAGGACAAAAAAGATAGCAATAAATGAATTTATTTCAGATAAAGTACACGGAGGATAAATAAAAATCGTATGAATGAATGAATTAATGAATGAATGGTTAAATAGGGTACAACATATAATAATGGATCAATGGATAATGTACAGTATATCGTGGTGCCTACGAGATCACTTGGCACATACTGTACATGGTGCCTGTATTTGGTGCATAAGTAATAATGATGACCAAAGGCCCAAGTTTTATTACAATTGATGATGATGCCAATGTCAGAAGAGACGAAAATGCGGAGCTGCGTAACGTTCGGCGAAGTTGGTGAATGTCATCAAAGATACCCATGAGGATTTACACGAAACCTTAAAGAAATGATGCATGCATGCACTTCAGAAATTGTATAAATTTAGGAATTTTCAGGTGTACCTCAATATATTCAGGGATTGACTTAATAACAAAAAATGCACAATAATTTCCGAATACAAATGTCGCACCTCTAATCAGCGAGCGTTAATCAATTTTTTTAATTAATCATAATTAGTCGCATTTACGCCCTAATGCTACTACCTCTCCCTTTTACGTGACACCGGCCTTTTGATGGTGATCAGGATGGGTGCTCGTTGATCGAGAACGACAGTTATATCATTCACCCGGAAACTTCTTTTTAATGAATGTCTCAATATGACACAATACCACGGCAGATGAGCCGTAATAATTTACGGTTTCACGAGCTTTAATGTGTGCTCAGCTTGAAATTCACGATAAAAAAAATCACATCAAACAAAAACACTTTGCGAAACTGTAAACATTGTCAATAATTTGATATCATTACACGCGCATGCATGAAAAATTTATTTTGGGACAAACATCTTTCATTGGAATGTGACTTCCGAATTCGGACGAGCAATTTGTGGAAGTAAAAGGATTTTTTCGATCCAGAACAAACAAGCGATCACGGCGAGAACTGGTCAAGTGATTTTACCTCGCACGGAGGACAACTGAGGGTTTCAAGAATTTCCCAGAGTCATTCCTAGTGTTGATTCGTGACCGTGGACGGGGAATAAGATTTGGCGACCACGACCGACAAACGTATTGGTTCCTCTTTGATGTTTTCCGGATTTGGAAATTTTCTTTAAAAAAAAAAAAAAACAACAAAAATAAAAATAAAATAAAAATAAAAATAAACTCGAATTATCATTTGTGCGTTGAATCCAAGATGCTTGTCAGGTCCGTGGCAAAATTCCAGATTAAGCCTACAGCTCAGGGCAATCTCACAAACAATAAACATATGGAACGCGAAACAAGACATCAAGCACCGCCATCTATGCAGTAAGCACGAGTTTCCCGATTTATGTTGGTAAGGTGATTTGGGTTGCGGGTATTTATCCTTTCCTGGCACATAAGAGAATAGGGCATTGCGATTAGGGAAAAGCGTGAACGATTTGTTTCCAACGTTGAACATCTTTGACAAAAATATTTCATCACACACGGGGTGAACGACATCGGACGTGAGAATCGCACGAAACTAATTTTCATTCTAATGTGTAATGTGGTTTCGCATATAGGGAACAAGGGTTGATTGATGGCTGGTTGAACACATGAAAAATTTGGTCTTCTGTTGAGAATGAATGAGAAAAACAGGACTTGCGTGTTGTCTTGGATCTCGGAACATTAAGCGACCAATTAAAAAAAGCCTGCGATTAAATTGCCACACGTGATACTCGAGGAGACACCCGTCACCGTCCTCGATGCGTTACCATGGACGAAGGAAAATCTACTTGGAGCGAGGAATTCGGCTTTGTCAATTTTTCGCTGGGTTACCAGAATTCTGGACGAAGCCGAAAATATCAGATTTTGGAGAGTGGAAAATTGGATATTGGCAAGTATGAAAATTCGTAACGCACAACCGAGTGAATGCATGATCTTCATTTGTGATTGAGACACGGATCGTATCCGAAGCGGCGCAAGCTTCTCTTCATTCAACCGGATCGGCGAAAAGCAAGAATCAAAGAATCCGTGGCTGAGAATGTTTGTTCGTGGCGTGCCAGAAATTAATTGGTACTCACCATAACCTAATCACATGTCGATTATCAGGTCAGGATTCAATGAAGAAAATCATGGTATTGTTCTTTTTCTTGATATCATCACCTGGACCATACCTTGACGGACATTTTTAAGGACTGCCTCCGTATCAACTGACAGGAAGATCATGTTCAATATGCATATCATTAACATTAGAAAATTGGATCGTATAGGTATGGGTATGGGTAGGAGGATCCGGTAGACGCACTCTTCTGGGCATTACCCGTATATAACCCCCATGTTCCAAGATTATGTGCTCAGAGAGACACATGCCAAGTGTTTGCCAAACCTAGTCGCTTTGCCGTGTTTCAGTATCAAATTCCGGATTCACGTCCATCCCCATAATTCATCCGACGATCGACACACGGATGATAATCGGATTTCCATAAACGTCGATTAACAGAAAAAAAGTTTTTTTTTACCTCAAATAATAATCCTAATATGACACTAATACTAATGTCAATAATACTAATTGCTAATGATAATAAATAATAATTATAATCATATATAAATAGATACACAAAAAAATCATGGGCATACAGTTTCCCCCATAATAAAAATTTATCCGAGGTTCGACGAACGCCTCACTTTCACCAAATACACGTCGCCTACCTGTCATACAGAATACGTAATTGTATATCATATTTATCAAATGTTTGACATTCATATTCCATTGTTGTCCATTTATAGATGTCAGAATAAGTGAAGGGCCGTTGGATGATGTTTGAACATAGACCTCATGAAATAAAAACCTTTACACATTTCATTAGCCCCGGTCAATACATGAAACCCACTAACCACCTTACGTAAGTTGATACAACTCGAAACTCGTGACAAGCATCAATGTATATTATTAACACCATATTTCTTTTTTGGTCCTCGGGGAATTCAACAATCACATTATTATCATTTGCCTTATAGGAGGGAGGATTCAGGGGTCGCGTCAAATTATTATCATCCGCAACAACAACACACATCTTTTTCGTGTCAACCACCATAACCAACTGTATAGCACATTTCATCTACTTTAATGGTCATATGAATTACGGTTACGGTCACCGAAATCATTATTTCCCGTGTACAACCACCCACTTTGTGTTTTTTTTTTTTTTTAAATGTAAATATATATATATATATAATAAACTTTACAAATTGTGTTCTAAAAGTTTTGTTAATAATTAACAGTAGGCTCAAGCTAATGGTCGGCAGCATACATCGTGTAAATACATAGCGTTGAAAGAGAGGTAGGTGAACTCAATTATGGTTAAATTAATCAACATCTCGAATCTTGGTGACCTTGATGGCTGAACTTTACCATTGAACTCTCCATTTATGGTTGAATGAACGCACAAGGTAGAATGGTTTTGATGTTATCCGAAAATATTCTCGGAGACCACAAAGACACACCCGAAGGTTCACCGGAGTCATCTCGTGGTAACTTCCTAAAGACATGAAAAGACAGTGAGATCGCCCACATATCCTCAATCGCTAATATTGTGCGTTATTGAATAATGATCGATCACATTGGCAAAGGAACAATAATAGATGTATCTTCTTTCTTTCTTTCTTTCTTTCTTTCTCTCTTACATTCTTTTTGTTATCCTTTTGTTAACCATCCTGTGCGACCGAAGATCTTTGTTAAATCTCGTAGTTCCTTAACCTTTTAATTGTGCATATCATCATTATCAGTCGTTGTTATTCTTGGTTTTACCATCACCAGGCAACTCGGAATAATAATTACACAGCAAAGAAAGAACGAGTTCGTGGAGAAGATTGCAAGAGCGCGCGCAAAAAAATTTCCGATTCGATCACGTCCATATACGCGCGCATATGTATCGTGTGGGCCGCAGAATCAACGTGAAATTTTCATGCAAGATGTCTCATTAATTTTTGTCACCTCCATCTTATCACGATCATTTTCTTTCTTGTTTTCCAAAATTGTAAAGTTCCATTGTTATAAACGGATCGAGTGTTGAAGAACATTTGAACGTCGGAGGATGCAAACGCATGTGAAGTAGTAATATTGACGGATCGAAAACAAGTTTCATGGTGTCACCCTGTCACCTTGTCACCTCTGGCTTACTAATTTTATGGTCCGACGGATCGGTCGTGAAAGCTTTTGCATGAATATTTCCTAATTTAAAATGATATTTAAGAGGACAAGTGGGCGAAAGCAATCATCATTGTCAACTTGAGGATGGCACAGCTCATTAACAAAGAAGGGAACGCGACACAGCATCTTCATACAACAACAAACCGAAAAATTTTAACCCATTGTTCTCGAGATTCTCGAGGCATCGACAAGTCTTGTCATCCAATTTCTCTCAAGCAAAGCTCGTCACTCACAAACGCACGGAACATTTAATGTTTGAACTTTTTTCGGGCATCCGCATACGTAACTGTACATGCATCATTATATGAATTATGTAATCGTGACAGCTCCAAACATCCATTATTCCTTTATTCGCCATATACTGTAACTCTGCTGAGACTTGGAATTTAAAATTTCCCAAACATAAACAAAAGGAACCTGCCTCGACCAAGTTGTGCTTCGTAGGGCATGCTTCATGGTTCACTTATTAGTCTCACCGCATGTCACTATTGTCTAATTTAAAGAAATATTCTTTTTTTTTCTTTGTCCTGACGTTTGTTGCGTAATTTCCATAGTCGTCCACTTTCACAATGAAAATCACGGTATTCGTGGATTTCAATAACGAGGAATTTGAGCATAATCGCAACTACAATTTTGGTGAATTTGTTTACCCGGAATATGCAATGCAAGGCGATGCAGGTATATCGTAGGGAAAATATAGGAGATAGGTAATGATAATTAATTCGAAACTTCTCTTGGGTTGAAAAGCGCCATTATCATTCCTCTTCGGTGATAACGACCTTGCATTCCGCACACACGGACTCCTCTCCAGGATAGTGTTTATTTGTTTGCCGATTCGCCTATGTCAAGTTGCACAAACACCTGAATAGAATTGATTTCTATTTTTGAACAGAGTCCGAACAATGATTATCTTCTTGCTAGGTATGTGGCAAGCAAGCAAGCACGTACGTACGTGCGAATTTTTATTTTTATTTTTTTTTCAAACAATATGATGTGTCAATGACATTCGATTGATGCGACATTTGATGCGACATCTGATGCGACATCTGACACGATGTCCGCGAGATGAAAACCTTAACATGCGATTTCCGAAATCAGTTCTCTGATCGTCGAGTGAGTGATGGACGGACGAGATTAGATTCCCGACGATCGTGACAGACCATCACAACCAATACACCGTTGATGAGAAATACCGACAACAGACGTGCACCTGACCAATCGAGAATGCAGGATCCGACAAAAACGACGGCTCGACTCTTTGATAAATGAATAGTCTTTCACTAACGCAATTTGAACCTTCATCGTCGATGATCGCATTAACAATGGGTGAGATATTTGTTACGGAATTTGCTTAACCGGAGGGCAACGGATGCTAATGTGCGATGGCTTGCGCTGGTTAACTTAAAAAGGATGACGTGTGGTAAAAATATTTATTAGTTTGGCGTAAACATGTCGAGGATCACGTTAGTTTACGTACAATACGTGTTCAGTATAAAAATTGGGAAAAGGTGTGACTATTGGAGAGTTGTCACTTTGTGCGATCTGTGCCCTCGGTCGATAATGTCTACGATATCCGAAAGCTAATCCCCAATTACCTTGTTAAAAAGTTAACGCGGAATAACTTTTCTTTATGCATGCATCTCGGATAAACGAGCAAGTTTTAATTCAAAATAAGTAGCCAAATTAAACACGCCATACCTCTATCTATATTTGTAAGTATTATGAGAATGAAGAATTTATTCATGTATGTGTGTGTGTATGTATTATTGTGATGTTTCGCGCGAATTAAAATTCTATTACTAAGAGACGCGTTAAAGTGACGCATTGAACCTACGACGTACTTGCGTAATACAATTCCTGGGATTACATAAAAAAATCTGCACACCTGAGCGTTCCCGAGTGTATGCTATTTTCGTAATAATGAATACATGTATGTTAACATGAAAAAAACCATTCGCCTATTGATTGCGTTTATTGATGTGAAGTGTTCATCTCTTTCAGAATCATCTAATTGTGCCAATTTGCCGACTTGAGAGTTCATTTAGCGT